CTCCTTCATTCTTTTTTTTTTTTTTTTTTTTCTTTTTTTTTTTTTTTTTCAAAAAAAAAAAAAAAAAAAAAAGAAATCACCTACAAGCACTGGCTGTTTCCTGAATGCCACAAATACGTACCTAGTGATTTTTAGTGTAGATGCTGTTTATTTATAAACTATAAATACATCTAAACATATTGTTGAATAAATAATATTGTTTTCTTTTTTAATTTATTCAAAAAAAGAAGTTTTCTGAACTACTTACAAAGCTAAATATACCTTGTCTACATGCAGTGCTTATGTAACAATGGTGCTTATTTTGTTTTACGTTGTTTCAACCTCTGACCAGAAACTTAGAGGGCAGAATGCCCTGCTCTTAAAAAAATGTGATGACCACAGCGGTAACCTTATCTCATTGAGATCATTTCGAAGGAGGGGAGGAGATATTTTGACTGCAAAGACTGAGTCATAAGCTTCATTTTTTTACCCTGGGTTGTGCAGAAACTTTAAATTTTTTATATTATTTCATGTCTTCCATAGCAGGACATTTATTTCCTATTCAGTGACAATCTTGATGTTTTCATCCTTCAGTCTGCTCTCTAACATAGTTTCAAAATCCAAGCATTAAACATTATTAATGCTCAGTGGATGAATATGTTCATTGCCTTTATTGTGGTGATGATTTCTTATGCCAAAAAATGTTAAATGATGTACAAATAATAATTATTATCATAGTTATTAATCATAGTAATAAAACTGGACTACCTAAAGCACAATTTATGGGATAATATTTTATTACTTAAGAGCAACACAAATAATAATGTTAATTGCTCACTTACAGATGAATGCAAATGAGGATATGACAAAGTTGAAATAAACTAGGTAAAGGAAGCAATGTTTTATAGCTATTGTGGTCATTTTTCTAACCAAAAAAAGGAGTACAGAAATCAGATATATGCAATAAGGTACACTAAAATGATTCTTAATGATTACATAAAACATATATACATTATTTTCTCAGCTTCCCAAAACATCAATTCTCTTGCTTATAATATAGTCAAATAGTCTTAAGATTAGCCTCATGTGACTATGTCTGAACTTCTTAAAAAAATTGCTTCAGAAACATTATATTTTCATGATCAGATATCCTGAAAGTATTAAACAAAACTAGGAAAAACTATTAAAACAAAAAACTAGGAAAAACTATTAAAACAAAACTATTAAACTAGTGTTTAATAGTTATTTGGATTACATTTCATTAAAAATCTTAACAATCTCAGTTAACAGGCCAGCACATTTGAATGTTAAGGAAGACCCTGTACTGAAGGTTTTATAATGCTTTATCTATCCCAAGTTATATAACACAAAAATTCTTTCTCAAGCACATATGACTTTGCCTACATCTGCATCTAAGATTCTAATGTACATTTTTATATTCTTCAGTTTAAATTATTAACTCTCAACACTAGAATTGCACATGGTATGTATTCAGAATTATGTTCAGATAATTAGCGGCTACTTTGTTAATAAAGATGAAGCTTTAATTGTAGGTTTGATAATAGTGTTACCCCAAACTTTTAAAAAATATAAAATAGTATATTTTTTGAAACTATAAGGGTAAGGCAAAATGTTCTCATCAGATTCGGCGGGCAGATTGGACAGAGAACACAGCTTTTCTGAACCTGGGACTCAAAGTTCTGCGGCATAGCTGTAGCAAAAGAGAAAGTTTAAAGGGAAAGTTTTCCTTCTCACCTTCTCAAAGGGAAATACACAGGCTTATAGGTGTATGATATGAAACTGTTGGAGTATAGAGGAGGCTCCTTTCTCAAAATCCTAGAAAGATCGAGACATGTTGATATTATTTCAACCCCTAAATGTAGCCATTTCTGAAACCAAAAGTGATTTATAAATTGTTGCAATGGTGTGAATCAACAATTTCAATTTTTTTTTCTCCTCTTTAACTTACTTTGGATTTTCGTAACTAACAATTGAAAGACTCTGCCTAAGACTTCGGTGTTCATTATTTTTAGATTTTGTAGTTTAATTTCCTACTGTACTGTCAGATGCCATTCAGTGTATAACTTAGACCTTAAGAATATTCTGCTATTAATTTGCTTGAAAACAAGATGATCTTGTAGCACCTAATAGGGTCTAAGAAGCTCTCCTTCAAGGAAAACATATCCATTTCTGTCTCCTACCCAAGCTGAGAAAGACTTTCCTCTTCTCAGCTGCCATAGCAGCACCCACAGAGTAAATAGTGATTGACATGTCTGTAAACTCCCAAGGACCAGGACCAGATCTTTAATCTCTGTATCTCCAGAGCCTAGCCAAGTGCTTGACATGTAGCAAGAATTCAGGAAATGCTTGTTAAATTAATGTGACTCAACACCACACAGCTAACTATTCCCTGGCCCTACTTGGCTATCTCACATCCAATTGTAAACAGCCATTCCAAAACTTTCCACTCTCAAAACCCCTGGGGCAAATTACCTTGCCTTCCTTTCCTACAATTCACAAATGATTTTGCAAAATAAACAAAGCATGAACTCACTCTATTTCCTGTCCTTGTACCTTCAGACACCAGTAATCCCTGCCCCCTTCTCCCTGTCAGTCTCAGAGCATACGGTATCTTTCTCCTATGTTCAGAACATATACCTTCCCATTTATACCAAGTTCAAAATCTTATTCCATTTATCTTCCTTCTTTCTCTATAAAAATGAAATGTCTTCCTCCCTTAAAAGCAATTGCAACAAAACCCAAAATTGATGTGTGGGGTTTAATTAAACTAAAAAGCTTTTGCACAGAAAAATAAAACTAACAACAGAGTAAACAGATCTACACAATGGGAGAAAATATTTGCAAACCATGAAGTTGACAAAGGTCTAATTCCAAATCTACAAGAAATTTTAACAACTTGGCAAGCAAAAAACAAATAACCTCATCAAAAAATGGGCAAAAGGTATAAAGAGACACTTCCCAAAAGAAGACATATAAGCGGCCAACAAATGTATGAAAAAAAATTCTCCACATCACTAATCATCAGAGAAATGCCAACTCAAAACCACAATAAGATACCATCTCACACTAGTCAATTGCTATTAATAAAAAGTCAAAAGGCCGGACACAGTGGCTCACGCTGTAATCCCAGCAGTTTGGGAGGTCGAGGTGGGTGATCACCTCGGGTCAGGAGTTCTAGGCCAGCCTGACCAGGAGATGGCCTCCTGCTGTATCCATGATGCTGCAAAGGACAAGATTTCACTCTTTCTTATGGCTGCATAGTATTCCATAGTATATATGTACCACACTTTAAGTCCAGCCCTGAATGGCACCTAGGTTGATTCAGTATCTTTGCTATTGTGAAAAGCACAGCAATGAACATGTAAGTGCATGTATCTTTTTGCATATATACTCCATAATAGGATTTCTGTGCTGAATGGCAGTTCTATATTCTTTCAGAAATTTTAATAATTCTTTTCACAGTGGCTGAACTAATTTACATTCCCAATTCTATGTCAATTAATGAAGGAACAGAAAACCAAATACTGCATGTTTTCACTTATAAGTGGATGGTAACAATGACTACACATAGACATAAAGACGGCAGCAATAGAAACTGGGGACTACTTGGGGGTAGGGAGGAAGGGGAACAAGGGTTGACAAACTAACTATTGAATACTATGCTCAGCATCTGGATGACGGAATCATTTGTAACCCAAACCTCAGCATCACACATCATACCTAGGTAACAAACCAGCACATGTACCCTTGGAATCTAAAAGTTGGAGGAAAAAACATTTTTAAGTACTATTATATGTAAAATTTTATCTTCAAATTATAAAAATTTTAAGACAGACTATGTTTTATAGCATCTTTATATTTAGATAAATGATAATGAAAATATATTGTATTTAATTGAATGCAAATTGGTTCTGCCATGACAATGTTAATCTATAGAGAAGAGTCACTTACCAAACACTAAAAACATTTTTAAATCATATAAATAAATATATTTGAAATTATTTCAGTTTTGGGGGAAATTTCTTTGTGATCACCTGTCACCAATAAGTTATAAAGATATGTTAAGACAAATAGAGTAGGCAAAAGTTATAGCTAAAAACATTTTATTTCTTGAAAGCATGTTTACCATTATAATGGCATAAGTAATTCTTCAAATTTGACTAAAGGTTATTTGGAAATTACTGGGAATCAGAATGAAAGATAAAGAAATTTTAGGCTGGGTGCCTAAAATTTTAGGTTCACACCTGTAATCCCAGCACTTGGGGAGGCCGAGGCAGGTGGATCACCTAGGGTCAGGAGTTCAAGATGAGCCTGGCTAACATGGTGAAACTCTGTATCTACTAAAATACAAAATTCAGCTGGACACAGCGGTGCCTGACTGTAGACACAGCGGTGCCTTCCTGTAAACTCAGCTACTGGGCATGGCGGTGTGTGCCTGTAATCCCAGCTATTTGGGAGGCTGAACAGGAGAATCGCTTGAACCTGGAAGCAGAGGTTGCAGTGAGCCTATTTCATGCCACTGCACTACAGCCTAGGTGACAGAGTGAGACTCCGTATCAAAAAAAGAAAAAGAAAAAATATATATGAAATTAAGAATTAATTATTTGATTCTTACAAATGTGTCTTAATTTAATATGAAATCATTGGCATAATGAAAAGCAAATTCTTACTGAACACTGTCAATGAGATCAATGTCCTTTGAATTATTAAATTATATTGAATGTCACAACTAATAGCACACCACAAAAACAGAATCTGTTTGTGGTAAGTTACAGACAATAGACAGAAACCATCTCAAAGAGAGATTCTCTAGTTTCATCAGTCTTAAGAGAAACTAATAAGATCATCACAAATAGTTATTGTGGATATTTTTAAATGGTATCAATTTAAAGTTATTTTCCTAAAAATTTATGCCAATCCTAAGTTTATGCCATTAACACACACGAACACTTAGCTACAAAATGTTTAAGTGTATACTTTTGAATGTCACATGTCTTTTGGATGTAGCAGTGAAAGTTTTCAGAGAAAATAGCAATTAAAGAATCGCAAACTGTTTCCAAACCTGTCAGTTATTTGTGTACCTCTACAAAAAGACTGTCCATTTTGCAATATTTTAACCAATAGGGAGTAAGAATGTAAAAGAAGCTGAATAATGTTTATAACATGCTGTATTTATATCATGATACATTATTAGGTGTGACTGAAATCTTTGCAAAAGTTATTACGACACTAGATGTTTTAGAAAGTTATTATTTAATAGAACATATAGGTGGATGGAATCAAGTAGGTGATACTATTTTTCAAATCAAAATTTATGTTTTGCCTAAATTTTTGTTATATGCTATTATAAGAATTCTCATAAATATGTAAAATGTGTAATTAAAGATATTTTCTTGGCCCTCAAATTAGAAGTAGTTCTTTAGAAGTGGCTAACTTTCAAATTTTCTTTGCAATTGTGGAAAATATGTCACAAATATTCTTCAAATGCAAAAAAAGTCTATGAAACTGTAAAAACATAAAATAAGATTTTGGATTTATATATTTCTGTACAATTATAATAAAATATAAATATTAACACAACTGATATTAGATTAAATACACTATTATTAAACTTTTTATATTTTTAAAGCAAAATTTGAGTGAAGTAAAAGAATCCTTAGAGCTACCCTTTAAGAAAGTAAACACATAATGAAACAATTGAGAATGTGCAAAAACGTTATAGGTGAAGAAAATGTGATTCACAGATTTTCGTTTGATTGATCAACACATAATTAAATTTTATTTATGGTTGTATCACCTTTATACATTTCCATTTTCTAAAACACAAAATTCATAATAACGCTACTTGTATTTCATGGCTATTACAAGGCATATTACTTTAGCTTGCACAGTTACTGTAGCAACTTGTTCTATTCTGCATCATCTGAAAATATTTTGGGGGTAAAAGGAAGAATTTATAAAGGGATTTAGTAGCCTATCATGAATTTTAAAAAGCAGAAATTGTTAAACAGCTCAATAAAAATTAAAGATCACATTTCTATTTATTCATGTGAGCTGAGAAACTGATGATGTGGTATTGATTTAATTTCAACATAATTAAAATATTGTATTTATAATTCACATATAAAACATTAATTTATAGATTCTAAAGCTTTCCTATTGTGGAACATGATGTTGATATTATTGTTTGAACGACATAATGGAATCAGTATGTTACTTTATGAAAATCCTCTCTTACTATTAAAAAACAAAACAAACAAAAAACCTTCTTTCACCTAATGTTAACCTAAAATGTCATGTAAAAATTTTTGCTTGCTTACCTAGGATCAACTCTAGAGAATCTCACACTACAGATTAAAAGTAATCCAAGGCTATCCACAAACACAGACAAATACACACACACACTTGCTCAGTTCAAGGTGTCACACTTCAAATGATTCTTAGTCCTTCATAATTTACTGGGTCCCATTAAGAATCCTACAGAGTCTCTCTATTGCAGAAAAATTATACACACATATATACCTACCTAATGTTTACTATTAGACCTCTCCTTAGGGGGATGAGCTTCAGAATAATAAATTTTCCCTTAAAAGAATGATTATTTTCTTCCTGATGGTCACTCAAGGATCATAAGGCATGACTAAATTTTCATGTGTTTCAGTTTAATGGTTCCAAACTAAATACTTAGAATGTTTCTGCTACTTTAAGTCACTCTAAGACATCAAATCATTCATTAGCACTGGGTCCTTATTTCTGAAGAAGAAATCTCAAAACAATTTTAGCCAACCACAGATGAACATCTATATGAGACCAACCTTCCAGTCGGCCTCATCCCTTAGTTCCCTTACTTCTCAGGCTTCTGAACACATGGATATTCAGAAGGACAAAATGAAAGGCTTGCCGATACATGTGGCAGAAACATATTTTTTTAAAGGATAAAAATATATATTTTAAAATATATTTGTCTCATACTCAATACAAACTTTAAACAAATGGCTGTGAAGATAGATGGGAACTTCCTGCTTCTTATAATCATGAGAGCTATGACATTATTAATAATAAATTTTGGAATAGCATTGTTCTCTACCATTAAGCAATTCCAACTCAAAATTTTCTTTCCATTAATGATTGATACTATAGGTAGAAATAAAAAGAGCCATTAAGAGATGAAAAAATCCAATAACTCCTCTGTTTGTGATAATGAGATGAGGCCAGGATTTGGGGTCAGAAGATCTACTCTGCCACATACTGTCTAGTTATAAGCTAGTTGTTTAAGCACCCCAAGGCTGTTTCCTCACATGTAAAATAAGCATACTTTAAAAGAGTTCTTGTGACGTTTAGATAGTGCATGATCTCACCTAAACTCTCCTTTTCAGCCTTTATATCTACGCAGTTTCTCCATGTGCATCTTATCGTCTGTTCTAATCAAACTCCTCAAGGTTCTCTAAACGTATCAGCTTCATTTATCTCCTTGGTTTTCAATGCATTCTTCCTCTATTTACTTGGGTAATGGGGACTAATTCACCAAGACTTAAGGAAACCTTCCATGACCATACGAGGGGATCAGCCCATTCTCTAGGCTCCAAGATAAACTTATACAAATTTTACCCTTATATTTACTTGTTTATTATTCCAACCCTTGACCACACTGTATGTTCTTTGAGACCCCAAACTATGCCTTCTATCTCTTCTGTCTCATGTGCATTAGCATGTGCCTAACCCATGATGTGGAAAAAAAAAATCAATGTT